CATCTTTTGGACAAATCTTTGCCACAGCTTGGCATGTTATGAGTTTTCCCAAGTCACAGTCCTGCAGTATGCAGATGACATACTGTTGTGTGCCCCCTCAGAAGAGCTCTCCAGCCAGGGCACCCATGCTTTGTTGAATTTTCTAGCAGACAGAAGTTTTAAGGTCTCTAGGTATAAGGCACAACTTTGCAGCCTTGAGGTAAAATACTTGGGCCTTATCATATCTAAGGGAACCCAAAGCCTGAGGGAAGAGAAAATTAAAACAATACTTTCCTTCCCACAGTCCAGGACTCTAAAAGTAGCTAAGGGGATTCCTAGAAATCACAGGCTTCTGTCACCTTTGGATGGCAGGGTATGGTGAGATCATGTGACCCCTCTATCAGCTGACAAAGCCCAAAAGGCAGATGCCCATACTTTAACTCGGGAACCTGATTCCCAAGCTGCATTCCAGGACCTTGCATAGGTGCTTCTAAAGGCCACAGCTGAGTCTACTGATATGAACTGCACACTGTTATGAGCAGGACACTGTTATGAATAGCAGGGCATGGCTTTGGGAGAGCTTATGTAGGATTGTGGACCTGCTCAACAGCCCAGAGGGATCTGAGTCATGAAATAGGCAGAATGGCCTGTGTGCTTTAGAGCCGATCCTTCTGCTAATGGCTATTCAAGGTATTAGACAGGTTAATGCCACATCAGATTCTCATATTCCCTGGACTTTCTCCTTACCCTCTTCGTGGGAGGCTACTACTTGCTCTTCCTGGTGGAAACATTTGTTGGCTGCATTCATAATAGTCTTGTTGATCTTATTATTTGGTCTGTGCATACTTAACTGTTTTTTTGGCCTTGTCTCCTAAGACTTAAAGTTATACACCTATCCAAGTTGAGAACACCTGGCACCTACCAGGGCTTTAGATAGACCCTCTGGGCTGCATCTCTGATTACCAATCACACTATGACCCCTTCAGCCAGAAGTAGCCAGAACAGTCATTGCCCTTGCCCTATGGCAGTTAGGGGTACCTCTTCAGAGGGGGCAGCAAAGTTACCTAGAAATATAGGCAGACAGGGCCAGGCCCTCAAGGGAGTCAGTGTGGACTAGGAGAACACATACAGGTGTGGCTGGAGTACCTCTGTTGAAGATCAGGTGTAATGGTTGATACACTGTCAACCTGAGGAGTTTAGAAGTTTAAGCAATTCACCAGGGGGCGAGGGCCCTCACTTTGTAAACATCCTCATCTTGTGCAAGAGGAGGGCAGGGGAATGGTGTGAGTGCTACACCAAGAGGGGTGGGGTGAGGGGGAGCCTGCATACAATATAAAGGAGGGAAAGAGACTTTCACTCCCATCTTTTGCTCTTGCTTTTTCTGTCTTCTGCTGCCTTGAACTGTTGTGCCTGTGCCATGTCATCCTGCTTTGGAGCCAGCTGATTATGGACTGAAACCACCACAAACTGAAATAAATAAATCTTTCCTTCCTTAATTTTTGGCCTCAGGTATTTTGTCTCAGCAATGAGAGAAAAGTAAAGAGGACACTAGGCCTCGAGATAAAGATGGAATGAACAGGGCTACATGCCTCTCCAGGGGATAAGATAATTGAAGTCTTCTGGTCCAATGAAGTCTAAATAAACATCAGTCACTACCCCGGTGGGTGACTAGGACCATCCCTTGATTTATCCCTTCCTAAAGAAAGTTTTTGTTCTTTTCATGTACATTTTCAAGATGACCTGCTGTGCCACTGGATCAGTATGACCTGACCAGCTATTCTTGTAATCTTATTGGTTGATCACAGTTTTGACCCATGTTCTATCCACTTTATGATTGATTTTGGTCTGTAAAACTTCCTTTGAGAAGTGGGCTGATTGGCAACCTACTTTTGGGTTCTTTCCTGTCTCTCAGGAGCTATTGCTCTTAGTAAAGTTTTCCTACTCTTTAAAAAACAAATTGTTGAGCCGGGCATGGTGACTCCACCTGTAATCCCAGCACTTGGGAGGCTGAAGCAGGAGGATTGTTGCGAGTTTACCAGCCGGGGCTACAAAGTGAGCCCAAGGCCAGCCTGAACTGCATAGCGAGACTTGGTCTCAAAAAGACAAAAAAAAAAAAAAAAAACCCCAAAAAACAAATTGTTGGGCCCAGGGATTTAGGTCAGTGGCATAAACACCTGCCTGGCAAGTGTGAGATCATGAGTTCGATCTCTGATACCAAAAAAAACCCTCCAAAAACCAAAAAATTCAAAGTGTCCAGGGTAGACTTGAATTTGTGACCCTCCTGTCTCAGCCTCCAAAATAGTTGGGGTTACTGGCATACGTTACCATGCCCAGCTCAGTTTGATGAGTTTTGCTAATCTATAGGGGAATGGGAGTTTGAATATAGGGATGGAGTCTGACTCAGTTTTAGAACACGTACCTAATATGTCCCAGGCTCCGAGTGTGGGTTTTATCTCCACTGTCACACAACAGAGAAGAAAACAGATTAGAATTATGTGACCATCACCCAGACAGTGAATATGTCAATGCCTTAATCTTTGGCAAGTGTCCTGAATCTACTGATTTTTTCACTTTGCATTATGCCAGTTTCCCCATGGCATTCGAAATTACATTGCATCTGGGTGTGCTAACACATACCTGTAAACCCAGCAATTTGGGAAGCTGAGGCAGGAGGATCAAAGTGTGAGCCCAGTGTGAGCAATTTAGCAACTTAGTAAGAGCCTGTCTCAAAATAAAAAATAATAAAGACTCAGTGCAAAGGCCACAGGTTCAGTCCCTAGTATCTTAAAATTACTTGTAAGCATCCATCAGTTAGTTGCATAAAACCTTCTCCATAGGGAGAATTTATTTAGTCTTTTGAATCAGGGATTGGAAAACTTACCATTTTTTTTCTATCCCCCACCCCTCACTTTTGAGGCCTCAGTATGTGTGGTGGTTGCTTTCTTTAAGCAATGTCAAAATTTCTTGTGAATTAGAATTGGTTTAAGATAAGACTTTCAAGGGCTGGGATTTAGCTCCAGCAGCACAAGTGCCTGCCTTGGCAAGTGTGAGGTCCTGAGTTTGATTCCTGGTACCAAAAAAAATAAAAAAGACTTTCAAAGGGTTGAGTAGGCTTGGGTAAAAGTCATGATATCTCAGTTTGGGGTTGGTGAAAAGAACTAGGTTTTTCATTTGCTTCATTTTGTTTTTATCTTGAATAATGAATTATTGTTACAGTGTGGATATGAAGTTCCATCAAAGGCTATTTGCTGGGGGCTTGGTTACCTGCTGATGGACATTAGATGAGCGATTGGATCACGAAGGCTCTAATTTAGTCTGTAGATTCAGTCAGTGGTGGAGTCATATTTTGATGGCCTTATTGGGAGGTGAGAGAAATTTAGGAGGTGGCGTCTTCACTGGAGAGAAGACATGATCAGACTATATCTTGTCCCCAGATCCTTCCTCTACCGCTCTGTCTTTGACTCTCTCCTTCCTCCTTCCTGGCTGCCATGAAATGAGCTGCTCTGTTCTACCACACCCTTCCACCATGATGTTCCACCATAGTGGGGCCAGTGGCCATGAACTGAATCCTCTGAGACTGTGAGTCAAAGCAAACCTTTCCTCCCTTTAAGTTCTTTCATCTCAGTATTTTATCACAGTGCAGAAAAGCTAACATGGGAGCTGGGGATTTAGCTCAGCGGCATAAGCACCTGCCTTGCAAGTGTGTGGTCATAAGTTCGATCCCTGGTACCGATAAAAAAGAAAAAGAAAAAAAAAGCTAACATGATTATCTGTGTGTTTTCTATTTTTTATTATGATATAACATAATTATATAAAATTTACTGTTTTAAAGTACATAATCCCTGATGTTTTGCATATTCTCATTGTCTTGCAGTCATCTCCACCACCTAGCTCCAGCACACCGTCAACATCCTGTCCAGTAAAATTCAGTCCCCACTAAGACTTTCTGGCTGACTTGAACCACTGGTGGTAAAAAAAAAAGGCTCTAATCACTTTTATTAGAGCTCTAATAAAAATAAAAAGGCTCTAATCACTTTTTTTGTGTGTATGCCAGCAATCAAACTCATGACCCCATGCTTGCCAGGCAGGCATTGTGCCACTGAGCTATAGTCCCAGGCCCTGTTTAGTCAATACCCTGTATTAGTCAAGATTCATTCTGTTATGAATATTAGAAATCCAGCCTTCGGGGCTGGGGATTTAGCTCAGCGGCATAAGCGCCTGCCTTGCAAGCAGGCAGTCGTGAGTTCGATCCCTGGTACCAATAAAAACGAAAAAGACAAAAAAAAAAAAAAAAAGAAATCCAACCTTCATGGTGCCCTGAACCTGTAATTCCAGGACTTGGGAGGCTGAGGCAGGAGACTCACTATGAGTTCAAGGCCAGCCTGGGCTCCACAGTGAGTTCAAGGCCAGCCTGAACTATATAGCAAGACCCCATCTCCTGCTCTAAAAAAAAAAAAGAAAAAAAAAAAAAGACAAGAAAGGAAAAAAGAAATCTATCCACAGCTGAAAAAAAGGATTCATTCAGTAAATGGAGTCACTCGGTTCTCATAAAAGGAGGCTGGGTGGAGCAGACCTTCGAAACTGTTGTCCCACATCTTCTGGCCTCACTGTCCCCCTGCAGGCTGGTTTGCTTTCTCCAGGTGTAAGGGGAGTGGCCGAGCCCACACAGCTCCAGGCTCTGCTCATGCCAAAGTTCACCTCCTCTTCGGGCCTCCAGGAGCAACCCATTGACATCTCATGTCCCCATCTGGGACAATTACTATGGTTCTGATTGGCCGCATGTACCACAGGTTTCAGCGCCAGTATTCTGGGTCAGTGCTGTAGCCTGTAGGGCAAATGTGATCAGGGCACTGCCATGGGCAGGGAGAGTTGTTGCTGTGCGAATCCGGGTAAGAATGCTGGCTCCAGCAGAGGCTGGCATCCACCAAAAAACCATCCCACTACAAAGTGGTTCTTCATCCCAGGCTGGGGGTAGCTCAGGGGTGCAGCTTTTGCCTAGCCCAAGTGAGGTCCTGGTTCATTTCCCAGCCTTGAAAGACATAAAGACATAAAGCCTTAGTAGTTTTCATTAACTGTTGTTGGATTCAGTACATATTTTTGCAACTAATAAAGTAAAAATATGTGAGCTATATATTAGGAGATGGTGGAATAAAGGCAATCAAGCAAGAATCCTTGCTCCAAAAGATTTCACAATCAAGTGATAAGATATGCAAATCAGCTATATAATTCAATATCATAAAATGTCCTCTCTGGGAACCCTGAAGTGTACCAACTGTGAGATTAGGAAAGCTAAACAATGAAGGGCTGTTTGCACTACACCTGGGAGTTAGAGAGACTAGCAGGTCAATGGGGCATTCTGTAGAGGAAACAGCAAAAGCAACCCCAGCGGTGTCAAGGGATTATTCCACATCATGTGTTTGGGTAGAGTATTACCCCTCTGAAGCATCCATGTCTCAACTGGGGTCTGTGACTATTATCTTTTTGTCTTTTTCTTTTTTATCGGTACCAGGGATCGAACTCACAACTGCCTGCTTGCAAGGCAGGTGCTTATGCTGCTGAGCTAAATCCCCAGGCCCTGTGACTATAATCTGATATGCCAAAAGGTACCCTGAGGATGGGACTGCTCTGCTCTCTCTGTCTCTGTCTCTGTCTCTTTGTCTCTCTCTCTTTGTCTCTCTCTCTCTCTCTCTTTTGAGACAGGATCTCATTAGATAGCCCAGGCTGGCCTCAAATTCCCTATGAAGCACAGATTGACCTTATACTTAGGATCCTGCTTCAGCCTCCTGAGTGCTGGGATTTCAGCTGTATTAATAACCTTAATATTATCCACGATTACCCAGGTGATGCCTAAATGTGATCACAGGTGTTCGGTGTTCTTACCCCTCTTTCACGAAGGAGAGCAGGTCAGCAGGAGGTGCTATGAGGGAGGACGAAGAGGGAAAGGTGAACTGAAGAGGGCCACAAGCAGAACACGGCGGCCTCTACACCTGGAAAAGGTCAGTAGCAGTCTCCTCTAGACTCTACAGTAGAAACCTGCCACCCTACACCTTGTATTTAGGCCCATAAAACTCCTTGTGGACTTCTGACCCTTACGGAAGATAGCACGGTTATACGGTTTTAATCCACAGAATTCATCATGGTTTGTTGCAATGGTCACAGGAAGCTCCTCTAGGCTGGGTGGGGTTGGAAAGAAAACAGGGTTAGGGTGCGAAGACAGTGTCTCACCGACAAACCTGCATTTCAGCCTGAAAGGGATCAGGAAGGGAGACGCCTGCCCAGGCAGCAGGTGGGGATAGGGGTCTGGAGAGACACTTCTGGTGTGGTGACAGGAAGGCCGGGGCATTGGGGTGAATGGGGACCAGACCTGACTTGGGGGAAGCTGTGGCCTGGTGTTGGGCCAGTGGCAAGGCAGGGTGGTAACACAGGGATGCAGGGACATGGTATCCAAGCTCCCAAGCCGAGATGAGTGAGCGCCACATGGCATGGGAGGAGTGGCAGGCTGTGAGGGAGGAGGAAGGACCCCTAGGCATCTTCGAGGTCACTGTGTGCAGAGCCCCTCAAATATCCTGGGAGCTGGGGAAGTGAATGCTGAGACTCCCCAAAATAGTCCTTTTTATTTGTTATTTTTTTGACACAGGGTCTACCTATGTAGTTCAAACTGGCCTTGAACTTACAGTGATCCCCTTGCCTCAGGTGCCCAAGGGCTAGGATTGCAGATATGGCCCAACATCCCAAACTTGAATAATTTTTAATTGAGGAGGTTGGGGATGAAGCTCAGTGGCTCAAGCACTTGCCTGGTAAACATGAGTTCGATCCTTGGTACTTTAATTGATACATACTCATTGTACATTGCTTATGAGGAATCATGTGATTTGATACATGTATATAATGTGTAATGAAAAGCTAGAGCAATTAGCACTTCCATCTACCTAAATATCATTTACTTATTTATTTATTTTGTATGACTTTTGGGACAGATTTGAACATGCATATTTTATACTTTAACCCTTTCTCCCATCACCTCCCTTGCCCCCACCTTCCTCCCTGGTCCCACATTTTTGAGGGGAGTTGATACAATGTATTTTTTAAAATTGCTGATAATTCTTTTTTTAATCGGTACCAGGGATCAAACTCACGACTGCCTGCTTGCAAAGTAGGCACTTATGCAGCTGAGCTAAATCTCCAGCCCCTGATACAATGTATTTTGAGCCAGGTGTAATGCACTCCTACAATCCCAGCACTCCAGAGGCTGAGGCAGGAGGATTGCCATGAGTTCAAGGCCAACCTGGGCTACTTTGTGAGTTCAAGGCCAGCCTGAATTGCATCGTGAGACCCTGCCTCAAAAAAAAAAAAAAAAAAAAAAAGGTAAAGCATTGTGACCATATCCATTCTCTCATCACCCACTTTTATATTCTTCCTTCCTCTTGTCCAACAACAGTCTCCCTTCTACTTTCCTGTCACTTATTTTAAATTCCGCATATTAGGGAGAATATGTGATCCAGTCTTTCACAGTCTGGTTTATTTCACTCAACATGGTGATCTCCAGAGCTATCCATTTTCCTGCAAAGAACAAAATTTCACTCTTTTTTTATGGCCAGATAATACGCTAATAAAATATATGCATGACATTTTCTTTATCCATTCATTTATTGATAGGCACTGGGGCTGGCTCCATATCTTGGCCATTGTGAATTGCACCCCAATAAATATGAGTGTGCCAGTAGCCCTGCAGTATGCTGAGTTTAATTCCTTGGAGTTTATACCAAGGAGTGGTATCCGCTGGTCAAATGATAGGTCTATTTGTAGTTGGGTGTTTTTTTTTTTTTTTTTTTTTTTTGGTACTGAGGATCCAACTCACAACCTCACACTTTCCAGGCAGGCAGGTGCTTATACTACTTAACTAAATCCCTAGCCCTCTATTTGTAGTTTTTTGAGGAACTACCATACTAATTTCCATCATGGCTGTTCTAATTTACATTCTCACCAGCAGTGTAGATGGCTTCCTTTTTCCCACATCCTCACTAGAACTTATTTTTTGTCTTCTTCTTGAGATGGCCATTTAAAAAAAAGAAAGAAAGAAAAGAATTTGACCTAATGGCTAAAGATACTGTACAAGTTTTCACATGGCCATTTGTACTTATTTTGAGAAGTGTCTGTTTAGTTCTTTTGCCTATTTATTGATTGGGCTCTTTGATTTTTTTCTGAGCTCTCTATATATTCTCTGTTGGAACAGTAGCTGGCAAAGTATCATTTCACTCTTTTTCTTTTTCTTTTTGAGACAAAATTCTGCTATGCAGTTCAGGCTGGCCTTGAACTTGCTTTACAGCCCAGGCTGGCCTCAAACTTACAGGAATCCTCCTCCTTCAGCCTCTGAGTTCTGGGATTACAGATGTGTGCCACCATGAGTGGCCACATTTATCATTTCTTTGGATTGGAAGCTTTTGAACTCCCAAAGTTTCCTTTAACTTACTCTTTTTTTCTGTCTTTCTTTTAGTTCTTTGTTTGCTTTTTGAAACAAGGTCTCACTATGCAGTGCAGGTTGGTCTTGCACTCATGGTGATACAGCCTCCCAAGTGTTGGGATTACAGGCATGTGCCACCATACTAGGCTTGTGCTTGGCCTTTTAACTTTAATAAAACATTGTGCCCATCATATATAATGGTGGTGAATACATATAATCCCAGCTACTTGGGAGGCTGAAACAGGAGGCTCTCAAGGTTGAGCCCAGCTGTGCAATGTAGTAAGACCCTGTATCAAAATAAAAATAAGAAAGGACTGACAGTGTAGTGGTAGAATGCTTGCCTAGCTTGTACAAGGGCCTCAGTTCAATCCCTAGTACTGAAAAATGTGTATAATGTTATGCCAAGACCCAGGGCCGGGGGTTCAGTACACAGGTTCTCCATCACCCTTCTCCTTCACCTCTGCCTGATGCAGAACCACTAAGTGCACTAGCCTGGTGCCTAGTGAAGTAGCAACTTCATTTACTCTCTAGGCAGGCACTGCTATCATCTCCATTTTGTAGATAAGGAAGCTGAGACACAGAAAGGTAGAGTAACTTGGCACTCCATCCTGGGCAGTCTCACTTGGATGCTGCCCTGGCAGGAGGATGAAGTATTGGTCTGCAGGTTCCACAGGAGGTTCAGGTGTAAGTGAATGTGAGGCAGCAAGCAGGATGGGCTCAGAGCTCAGGACAGGAAGATCTGGAGACTCCTCATTGTAGAAGCATGGCCAAGCTGGGGGGCTGGGGATACAGCTCAGCAGCACAGTACCTGCCTGGAAAGTGCAAGGTTGTGAGTTCGATTCCTGGTACCAAAAAACAAAACAAAAGTTTTCCAGATAGGAGCATGAGTTACAGTGGGGTTATCTAGCCCCATGCTTATTATATCCCTGGACTTGACTGTCCACCTGGTTCCTATCAACACTTGACTTCAGGCTTGGTCATCCTAAGGGAGAGGCCTACGGCCTCTTTAGCTAATTGCTATCTTTTGTCTAAAGTGCTTGTCTATAATGCCAGCACTCAGGAAGCTGAGGCAGGAGGCTCATGCAAGTGCAAGGCCAGCCTGGGATACATAATGAGTTCAAGGCCAGCCTGAATTACATAAAAGAGGTTCTGTCTCAAATAAACAGAAACCTAGAGAAGAGTGGAGTTGGGGCAGGAAGAGACAGAAGAAGAGCCACCAAGAGATGGCCGGGAGGTCCAGAGACCAGCAATCCCAATGGTTTAGATTGGAATATAGGTCAAATGGGGCAGAGGTAGAAAAAAAGCCACTGTGTTGGCTATTGGGTCACTGGTGACCATTACTACCGCACTTTGAATGCAGAGACAGGACTGAAGAGGGCACAAAGTCAGGAAGAAGGGCAGCCACTGTAGACCAGAATTCTGGCAAGAAAAGAAGGGAAAGTGATCTATAGATGTTCAAGGGAGTCACAGAATGTTTGGATTTGTTAACTGATTGGGGGACACCTGGACATGTTCACAGGAAGCAGTAAAGAACACCCTGAACTTGTTCAGTAGGGTTCTGTCACTTTCCTTTGGGAAACCACCTTACTTCTCTTTCGTGGCCCATCACCAGGTCCTACTCTGGAACTGGCCAATCAGCATGTTCTACTTCAGGGAACAGTAAAGATTTATGAATGACCATGTGACATCATCTTGTCCAATCAGCATTAGTGCTGGAATTTTTCTCAGTAACATTTGCTCTTGGGGTAGACCTGGTAGCAAAGGAAGCCTGGGGGCCATCTTTGTTATCACACAAGAAGTAGTTAAGTTAGGCCAGCACTGAGACTGAACTCAACTCAGGGCTTGTGCATGCTAGACAAGTGCTCTGTCACTGAGTTATATAACCCTGCCTGAGACTCCATTTCCTTTCCTTTCTTTCTTTCTTTTTGGTCCTGGGGATTGAACCCAGGGCTTTCACAATGAGCCATAACCCTAGCTCCTTTTTAAAGTTTTTTATTTTGAGACAGGGTCTTGCTGGTTGCCCAGGCTGGGCAACTTCATTGTTCTTGTCCCAGTTCCCAGAGTGTTGGGATTATAAGTGAAAACTAACTTTCTTTTCTTCCTTCTTTTTAGTGTATGTTTGGGACACATAACAGTTACATGCATCTTGGGGAACTGGTACGTATACACATCACATCTTGATCAGTTTTACTCCCCTTTATCCCCTTGCATTCTCCACTCTCCCTCTTTCCCCAGATCCCCTTCCTCTGGCCATAGAGTCTGCCTTCCTTTTTCCTGCCATCTCTGTTTTGTTTTGCTCTTCATTTATGCCTTGGTTTTCTCACATTAGGGAAACCATGTGATATTTAACATTCTATATCTGATTTAGTTTACTTAACTGTAGGTTTCAAGATTCATCCATTTCCTACAACTGACTCAAATTTATTTTTTTTCATGGCAGAGTAGTACTGTATTGTATCTATATGCCACATTTTCTTCAGTCAATCATCAGTTGATATCGAATGGGGTATCACTGTAATAAGATGGGAAAATACCCAAAAGAAATATAGCTGGTCAAATGGAATTTTTAGTTTTAGTTTTTTGAGAAATCTCCATACTGACTTCTATAGTCTTATTAGTTTACATTCCTACCAACAATGTACAGGGTTCTTTTCTTGTCACAACTGAAAGGTTTTGGCCCAGACAGGACACTGTAGCCAGGAAAGCCACAACCGGAAGCAGGAAGCCCCATCTTGCCCTGCCCCTAGGAAGTTACCTGTGACGCCATCTTCCCGCCCCTGGGAATTTACATATGGCGCCAAACCTAGGACCAATGGGCTACCTGTGTATCCCTAATGCCCGCCTTAGGTTCCACCCCAAACCGAGGCTATTTACAGGCCCCCACGCTGCGTGTCCGCCGGAGAGATCGCCGGACGCCAGCGGTGGGGTTGCCGGTCATCTCTCTCCGTGTTCTCAGAATAAAGGCCGCTTTTTATTTTATATTTCTCATCTTTTGTTAATATTTTTCATCTTTTGGAAATAACTCTATCAACAACTATATCAGCATTTGTTGTTTTTTGAGTCCTGCATAATAGCCATTCTGGCTTTTTTTTTCTTTAATTTTTAAAATAATTTTACCCATTGTTTTAAAATTAAAATGTTGAGCAAGAAAACATTGTTTCGGGCCAGGGATTTAGCTCAGCAGCATAAGCGCCTGCCTTGTAAGCACAAGATTGTGAGTTCGATCCCCAGTACAAAAAAAAGATTGTTTCTTGGGAAAATATGCAAAGCTGGATCATCCCCCATCTCTGTATCACACCCCGAGACCTTAATTCCATCAGTACCATTCCACAGTACCACCTATCTGGAAAGGTGAATCCATCAAAGACCTGTCCAGTCTGGACAAAGCATTCCCACAGGAAAGCACAGTTCCATCTGGCTGTGAACATCGACTCTGTCCAGGGGCTTTGGTACATTTGGAGTAGACAAAAATAATGGCACAATAATACAAGTAACATCCAAGGAAAAATTTTACCTAAAGAAAGAAAAACTGAGCACTTGCCTGGCAAACTTGAGGTCCTGAATTTGATTCCCAGTACAAAAGAAAAAAAAAAAAGTAAAGTAAAAATAACCAGGCATGATATGTAATGATGTTCCAGAAAACAAAAGAATTCATTTTTTCTTTTTTAGAAAATGAAACAGTTCATTTTTACAAGTCCATTTATGTGACCAGAGGTTTGATATTTTAAGAAAAATACCTTAATAAAAATATACTCGGTTCTAAAAGTAGTCTTCATGGTCATTTCTGAAATTCAAGTCACCATTATCAAATTAAAATAATGCCACATATTTTTGTTTTTTTTTTCAAAGTCCTTACATCACAAACAAAGCAACTTTACTTTTTTTTGTACTGGAAATTGAACTCAGGACCTTGTGCTTGAACAAGACAGAACTGAACTCAGACAGGAGCTTATACTGCTGAGGTATATCCCTGGACCTACGTTTTCTGTAATACAGTACATTTCCTTGTGACTACACAGACTATGTATATCACTGGTATTATGAATGCAAAGTAAAAGCCTTCATGGAACCTTTTCACTCCCTACTGTGCAGTTTGTTAGTAAGTAGGTGATAAATTCTATTTTTAATGAACCAATATATTTCTTTTTGAATTTCTTAAAAGCAAGTGTCTTCATATATGTTCTACAGGTATCCAAACCAACAAAGCAAATGTTCTAACATCAGCTGTGGAAGATGGCTTTTATTGATAAATGTAGACTCAAAGGTTTGCAGAGAAATAGCAGTGCTGCCTACAGCTGCCTATGCTTGGTAGATGGTTGTGTCTCTCCTAAACCCATCAGAGGAGTCCTAGTTTAAAAAAATTTTTTTTGAGATAGGGTCTCAGTATATAATTTAGGCTGGTCTCAAACTCATGGCAATCCTTCTGCCTGAGTCTCCTAAATGCTGGGATTACAGGCAAGTGCTGCCACGCCCAGCAAAAGTCATTTCTTTTATTTATTTATTTTTGGTACTGGGGATCAAACCCATGACCTTACACTTGTCAGGCAAGCACTTGTGCTACTGAGCTAAATCCCTAGCCCAAAGTTTCATTTCTTAAAAGGAAGAGATCAAAGTATTTTTAACACAAAATCTGTGTTGCTCATACTTGTGACCCTCCTGCCTCAGCCTCCTAAATAACTGGAAGTACAGATGTGCACCACTTGCCGAGTTTGCTCTAAAATTCAGGCTGGAATTCTGTCTCCTGGGATTGACAACTCGATTAGAAGGTAGCCTGGAGCTCCTGGGGACCTTCTCTGAAATATCTGTGAAATCCCCACACCACTCATGCTTTCCCCTCACATCTTGATTCATCAGATTCAGGGCACCAGTTTAGTCTTGAACTTTGTCCTAGCAAGGAGACTGGATTATCCTGCGTTAACTGCCTAGAGGTGAGCTGAGCCCTGCTTCTGCTGTGGCTCAGTGCTGGATGGGAGCAGCAGTGGTTGTTCTGGAAGCAAACATGCAGACTGGCTGCAGAGGACACAGGGAAAGTGTGGGGAGTGGTATGGGCACAGAATCTTCCACAGCCAGGGACCTGGCTGCAAAGAAGAGGGGTGAAATTTAACACAGATGGCAGGTGTGGTGGCACACGCCTGTAATTCCAGCACTAGGAGGCTGAGGCAAGAGGATCTCTGTAAGGCTGAGACCAGCCTGGGCTTTGTAGTGAGTTCAAGACTAGCCTGGACTACATAGCAACAGCTTATCTTGAATGAATGAATGAATGAATGAATGAATGAAATTTTAACATACAATTAAATCCAAAATTCTTTAATAATATATTTACCAGAAGAAGGAGGAGAATAAAATATAGAGCTTAATTTCTGACCTAGAGGGGCTGGGGATTTAGCTCAGTGGCATAAGCGCCTGCCTTGCAAGCAGGCAGTCGTGAGTTCGATCCCTGGTACCGATAAAAATGAGGAAGACAAAAAAAAAAAAATTTTTTTTTTTGGCCTAAACTTTTAGGTCAAAAAAAAAAAAAATGTTTTGTTCCCTTTGCCCCAGAAATTTTATATTTGTGTTCTCTGTAGAGACACAATAGTTCTATCAGTGAATCTCTGCAAAAACAAAAACAAAAACCAAAAAACCAACCAATAAACAAAAACTCCACTATTTCATAATGAAAGCCAAGGTTGTACTAATTAAAGAAGAATCTAACATGAATCCAAGATATATTTTTTGTTTTGTTTTTGTCTTGAGACAGTGTTTTACTATTCAGTTCAGGCTGCCTTGAACTTACTTTATGGCCCAGGGTGACCTCAAAATTGCAGCAATCTTTCTGCCTCAGCCTCCCAAGTGTTGGGATTACAAGTATTGCCTACCACACTTGGTACTTCCTTTTTTGAAGTAGGGTCTCAGTATGTAGTCCAGGGTGACCTGGAACCTGCAGTGATCCCCCATCTCAGCCTCCTGAGGGCTGGGATTACAAGTATACACCATCATTCCAGTTCATTTGATTTTTTTTTTCTTTTAGTGCAGTAGGACACCAAATACAGTGCTGCATATTTGTAATCCTAACACGTGGGAGGTTGAGGCAGGAGGGTCACAAGTTTGGGGACAATTTGAGTAGGATTCTATCTTAAATGACAACAAAGGGGTAGGGGATCTTCTGTAATTCATCTGTTCCAACAAGGTTTACTTTTTGACCAAATTGAGATTTGACAATACCTTCACATTCCTTAGTAAGTTAAACTCACTAAACTCCTTTAGAAAAATTAACAGAAGGACAGTGAAAACCCAGACTAACAAAGTTGAGGCAGGCTCCTAAATAACTATCAGAGGGTAAAAAGAATTGTGATTTCCTTGTTTCAACTCAACAAAACAGAAAAAAAAACCCGCCAAAGTCGAACTGATTATACATATTGTATTAACTTGGACACGATTAGATGTGTTCAGTGGCAGTGCACCCAGATTGCTCTATTTGTATTTCTTTGCCTGTTTCTAACAAAGACAGGCCCTGGGAGGCTGAAGGTTAAGGACTGAAAGTTCCAGCCTGTGCAACTTAGCAAGACTATTTCAAAATAATTCCTGTCCTTCAGCAGTGCATTTAAAAGGCTGAGATACACACACACACACCTTGCTCATGTATCATTTGAAGTGTGCTACTTCCAATATTTATTAACTCTTTTTGGCTTTTTGAGACAAGGTCTCACTTGCAGGTTAGACTGAACTTGAACTCAATTTGCAGCGCAGGCTGGCCTCAAATTTACTGCGATCCTCCTGCCTCAGCCTTTTGAGTGCTGGAATTACAGCAGTGCACCACCACACTCAGCCCAAATATTTATTAATTTAAAACATTTATTAAGTAGCTACTAAGTGTCAGACACTGTTCTAGGCTTTGCAACTGCAAACAATAAGATTTCTGCCCTTGTGGGGCTTACAAAAAAGAAACAACTCATCAAAATATATCTAATCGTAGCTGGGCATGGTGGCGCACTCCTGTAATCGCAGCACTCAGGGGGCTGAGGCAGGCGGATCGCTGGAAGTTCAAGACCAGCCTGGGCTACAAAGTGAGCCCAAGGCCAGCCTGAACTGCATAATGAGACCCTGTCTCAAAAAGACAATATACATATACATATATATATAATCATGAAAAGTGGCATAAAGGGAAAAAATGCAGTTGGGGCCATAGGTCAGTTGTAGAGTGTGTCCAAGGTCCTAGGTTCAATTTCCAGCACACGTACTCGAGTCAGGCATGGTGGTACACATCTGTAATCCCAGCACTTGGGAGGCTGAGGCAAGAGGGTCACCATGAGTTCAAGGCCAGCCTGGGCTGCATAGGGAGGCCCTGTCTCAAAAAAAAAAAAAAAAAATAGGTCAAAGGTATTGTGGTTTTCCTCATAGCCCACCTTGCTTTCTCCAAGGTGTTCTGCTCATCTTTCTTTCTCTGTCTCTCTCATTTTTCCTGAGACAGAGTCTTGCTATGCAGTACAGACTGGCCTTGAACTTGCTTATGTAGCCCAGGCTGCCCTCAAACTCACTTTGCTCCTCCTGCCTCAGCCTCCCAAGTGCTGGGATTACAGGCTGTGTCACCACACCTGGCTCCAGGTTATTCTTTTATGTTGCTTTTCCTCTTTTACTTGGCCCTAACTTGTTCTGCAGATCCAGTTTCTCCTTCACTCTTCACTTTTACTTTTTTAAATCAACTTTGCCGCCGCTTAACAAAAAATAATAAAAATAAAATGAGATCAAACACCTGATGCAGTGAAGCAGGGGGCATGTGAACACCTGAGGGAAGAGCATTGTAGGCAGTGGCAGCCGGAAGTGCAAAGGCCCAGGGGTGCAGGGACACTTGGCCTGTGCGAGGAGCACAGGGGAAGGCCAGGGTATCCAGGATGGAGCCAACAAGTGGGAGAATGAAAAGTTTGAAGGGCCAGATTTCAGGTGAGATGCAAGGTGTCTCCTCTGACATGAGAGCTTCTGGAAGGCTTCAGGGGAACCTGGTGGTGTAACTGTGCTTTAGGAGGATGCACTTCAGAAAACAGACAGCAGAAAGCATGGTAGGAGGCTCCAGCTGCCTTCAAGATGGGAGACCATGGTAGCCTGGTCTGGGAGAAATAGCTAGTTCTGGATCTATCTGAAGGTCAAGTCTTGGCTGCCATACTGGGGGTGGAAATGAGAGTCAAGGAGCCAAGGACAGATGTGTGTGTGTGTGTGTGTGTGTGTGTGTGTGTGTGTGGTTAATCTTTAATTCTAAGCCAAGGTCTTACTAAAATTGCCCACCTGGACTCGAACTTGTGATCCCCCTGTAGAGCTGCCCACGTGACTGGCATCGCAGGCGTGCATGCCATGCCCAGGGCCTGGCTGAGCTGCTCCACCGTGAGGGGCCCTCTGGGAGGAGGTGGCCCTGCAAGGGAGCGAGAGAGGATCCTGCTGTCAAGTGTGGAGAACTGGTCAGAGAGTGACCAGGACAGGACAGAGCCCGGGAGGTGACAGGAGCCTGTAGCAGAAGAGTGGGGGAAAGAGCAGGTGTACAAACCCCACTCTCGGTGGATGCCCTGGCTATCGAACTCCAACCTGAGCCCCTTAGCTGTCAATGGAGACTTGGATTCTCTTAGCGCCACAGGACCTGGCAGTTAGTTATGGATTGATTGATTCATTCATTAATTTTGAGGATTGAACACAGGGCCTTTGCACTGTATCTCTAGCCCTTTAAAACAAGTATTAAATTGAGACAAATGCCAGGTCTGGTGGCACACACCTGTAATTCCAACATTTGGGAGGCTGAGACAGGAAGATCACTGTGAGTGTCAGGCAGGAGGACTGAAGTGAGTTTGTGGCCAGTCTGGGATACATAAGCAAGTTCAAAGCCAGCCTGCACTACACAATGAGATTCTGTCTCTAAAAGAAACAAAACAAGAGAAAACGTAAAATTCTGAGACAGCGTCTTTTTAAGTCACTGAATTGCCAAGGCTGGGCTCAAACTTGCAACGCTTCCACCTCAGCCCCTAGAATACTGGGATCTAGACATGTGTCACATTCCTGGGTACAGTAGATTATTATTATTACTGCTTTGAGTTGTTTTTTTTTTGA